TTGACTGTTGAAAAAAAAAAAAAAAAAAATTCAGCCACACTCTTTCTAATTTGCTATATCTTCAAAATCACCGCTTCTATTTTTTGACTCTTCACTGACACCCTCTACCAGATTAAAAGTGTTAACTAAAATACAATTTTACTAAATTACCCATGATATATTTTAGGAAAAATTTTATTCACACCTTCTCTAGATGAACATATCTTCAATGAGAATCAATCTATTTTTAAAATTTTTTTATGTATTAAAAATCGAGTTGATTAAAACTCGATTCGAGTTAATTAAAATTTATTTTTTACGTATTAAAATTTGAGTCGATTAAAAATTAACTTTTTTAAGGATTAAAAATAGAGCCGATTAAAATTTTATTCGAGTCAATTAAAATTTTTAAACGACTTGAATCAAATTTTAATCAACTAGTATTAAATTTTAGTCGGTCTAATTTTAATACATAAAAAGTATATAAATTTTAATCAATTTAAATTTTAATACGTAAAAAATAAATTTTAATCAACACGAATTTTAATAAAAAAAATATAAATTTTAATCGGGTTGAATTTTAATTAAATTTTATGTAAGATTGTTTGAGATTTATGTAGAGGGAATTTTGGTATTTTGGATTTTTTTTATTATAAATGATAGTTTAACGGTAGAGAGTGTCAGTGGTGTTTAAATATAAATTAAAAGAGATGTCAGTGATATTTTAAATAATAGATGAAATGTCCTTGCAGATATGGTGAAATATAAGGAATGTGGCTGAAATTTTTCCAAAAAAAATTTAGTTAGAAGTATTAAATTGGTAGTAAACTTCATTGTTAATTTAAACATACTATCAATTCGATGACAATAATATATTAAATTTACAAATTAAATAAATAAATAAAATACAAATAGCATTACGAGAGAAACAAGTGGCACAAAAGTCGCATGGTGCCAAAATAGTGAACTTGGAACTTAAAAAGCAAACGCCATTAGCGGCGAACTCCAAGGCCAACACGCCTGCCCAACTCTCTTTTTTCTACGCATCTCCCTTACTCTCTGTCTCTCTCTCCTTCACTGTCTCACGCATATCAAAAGATTCAAAACCAAGCTTGGAAGTTTGAAACTTCAAGGTTACTAAGCAAAGCAACCAGCAAAACCCAAAGTACAAGCAAAAGCTGCTCTCTCTCTCTCTCTCTCTCTCTCTCTCTCTCTCCAATTGGTTAATGATTATATTATTTATTGTCTCTAAAGTGGGGTGTCCTGAGAAATTGGAGCTTCAAGTGACAGTCTAGGCAGGTCTCTCTAGATTCAGAAATGGCTACTTTGACTGCTTCTCTTGTTCTCCCATCAAAGCTGAAGCCTTCTTCTCCAGAAGAACAAAGTTCTCTCTTCATCTACAGAAGAAGAAGGCCCAAGAAAAACCAATCAATTGTTCCTGTAACTTTCTTTCTTTAATCCATATAAAGAGTGCTTTACTTTCTGTTCTCTTTTATGGGTTTCATTTGTTTGTGGAATATTTATATTATTATTGATTGTTTGGGTTGATTTGAATCAGGTTGCTAGGTTATTTGGGCCATCTATCTTTGAAGCTTCGAAGCTGAAGGTTCTATTCTTAGGAGTGGATGAAAAGAGGCATCCGGGGAAGCTTCCAAGAACTTACACACTCACACATTGCGACATAACTTCTAAACTCACTCTGGCCATCTCTCAAACCATAAACAATTCTCAGGTACCCCTAATCTGCAAAACCCATGTTGAACACACTATAATAAATAAGCAGATCAAGATTTTCTAGTCTTTTTCAAAGAACGAATAGTAGGAGTGTCAATTCATGTCTGTGGCTCATGTGTCAGTATTTTTGTGTTACGTCAAGTTTCACGAAATTTTTTTTATTTAATATGTTATAAAATATATGTATTTAATAATTATATCAATTTTAAAATTGTATCGTGTCATGTTCAGGCTTAGAATTGACACTCCTGCCAAATAGTCTAAACTTAGTTTTAAGTTCATAATTTGGTAATTTGGGTTTGAAATTAGTTTTTAACTATCATACAGAGGAAAACAGAGGTTGATATATAATTTAGTAATGAATTATTACTGCTTTGATCCGTTCCAAGGTGATCCCAAACTGTCAAACATAAATCCAGACAAGGAAAAAGTTTCTTAGGACACTTCCTAAATTTAGGATTGATAGTATTTTTCTTGTGATCTTGGGTGTTGAAGATATAGATGTTTGTTTGCAGTAAAAGCCAGAGCACAAGTATCACAAGAAATTTTGTTTAGAAACAAAATGAAAAAAGATAAAATGGATTTTACTTGCAGTTGCAGGGGTGGTACCATAGATTACAGAGAGATGAAGTGGTTGCAGAGTGGAAGAAAGTTCAGGGGAAGATGTCACTTCATGTTCATTGTCATATCAGTGGTGGTCATTTCCTATTAGACTTGGTTGCTAGGCTCAGATACTTCATCTTCTGCAAAGAACTCCCTGTGGTAAATTTGGAACGAATAATCAAAATTTTGTTTGTATACTAAATTTTAGTTTAATTCTGCTTTTGAAACATTTCGGGCCATAAAATTTTTGATTTTGTGTTGAAATCGAAACTTCTGGGCCAAATTCGTGGAACATAACGAAATTTTAATCTTTGATCATAAATAATATTTTGGTGAAATTCTCATGTGATCAGGTTTTGAAGGCTTTTGTTCATGGAGATGGAAATTTGTTCAACAACTACCCAGAATTGGAGGAAGCTCTGGTTTGGGTTTACTTTCACTCAAACATTCCAGAATTCAACAAGTTGGAGTGCTGGGGCCCACTAAAGGGGGCTGCAGCACCTTCCAGTGGGGTACAGGAGGACAAAAAGGGGCCAACTCCATTAAGCAATCTTGGGATGCCACAACCATGCCAAGATGACTGCACGTGTTGCTTTCCACCAATGAGCTTGATCCCTTGGTCAGAGGATCTTCCATGTGAGAGTATAGAGGAGACCCACCAAGGATTGCACCAGCAAACCTAAAGCTGATCATGTGGGTCTCTGTGATTGATGTGTGTTTTTCACATGGTGTTGTAAAAACGTTGTTTTTTTAAAAAAAAATGTGAATACAGGACAACCTTGATGAAAAATTTGGGATATGTTAGTATACATTAAGGTTAATTTAGGATTCCATGAGTTCAATTTTCCACTCAGAGAACGTAGCAAGTTGTCTAGGATTTCATTTAGTGTGTATTTCATTAATGACTAGGAGTAATTCGTGTATGAAGGTATAATGTAATATGAATGATTTTGAGAGGAATGTCAGTGATTATTGAATGAGTCTATTTGAAATCGTCGAATGGATTTATTGAAACCTGTCTTGTATTATATTATAGATCTTAAAANAGGAATGTCAGTGATTATTGGATGAGTCTATTTGAAATCGTCGAATGGACTTATTGAAACCTGTCTTGTGTTATATTATAGATCTTAAAAATTCTATGCATATATGTGTACAATATAAAAAAAATTAATTATATTTTTTTATTAAAAATAAGGTTAATTGTAATTAGTTACAATTGACCCAACAAATTTCATATTTTCATAGCGTTGTCTAGTGATTTTATTATTAATGATTAATAAAATTAATACTAAAATCACATATATGTACATTAAAGCTGTACCAGATCTTTTTTTAAAAATGAACCCAATATGTCCAAATTAATTTAAATATGCATGAAGTGTATCCATTAATTATTCATTTATAATAATAAGTGGAGGTACCAAAAAGTTATTTCAGGTAAATAATCATATGTTCATCTTTTAAATGTGAAAAACTCTACGGTACTCAAAATTTTTTTAGTATCGATTGTCGGTTATTATGCAAATTATGCAATGAATAGAGAAAACGACCCGCTCGACGATGAACCTGAAACAACTAAAAAGTCAGATCGGGTGAAAACCCAGCTTATCCCCTCCAAAGCTTAAACCAATAGAAGTTTGGAGGCTTAAAGCACAATATTTTTTGTTTTCTTTGTTTTGTTTGGGTACCTTTGTTCATGTTTCTAAGGGATATTTATACTTATATCAGTAACGAGTGCAAGAGTCTTGAGTTCCATCATGACATTAAGTGGCTTGCACTTTTCTCCACGTGTAATGAGTGTTATCCACTCATATTTTTGCAAGAATTCATGCTCGAGTGATAGCATAAGTGCTCGGGGGTACGCCGAGCACTTACGGCTATCTCCGGACATTCAAGTTTCCATGATCGACGCATGACACCTATTTCCAAATGTTTAATGCTTGGGATATACTGCCTTGGGGTTTGCCGAGGACACATGGTCGGCTTAACGATGCTTCGCAATTATTATTGTCAAATGCTTATTAATAGACATGTCCCCTTAAATGTTGGTGTGTTTGTACACTTGACTCCGCTAAGCCATTACTTATCGGCGCCATCTCTTTGCGTCTTTTGAGTTTAATAACGTCTACATCTTTTCACGTGTCGATTTAGAAGTTTTTGAGCCGTCTAAAATCCCAACAATTTTGCAAAGTATAATTACAACTTTAAAGTGAAAAGTTATAATTGTTCAAACAAGGTTATGATCGATCACAGATACTCATGATCGATCATGAAAAATATGGTATCAATTTCAATATTTCATGATTGAACATATCCTTTAAAATTATAAATTAAAATTCAAAAAAATTATAATTTTTAGTACCGGTACCGTCCCGATAATCCTGCAGAAGTTCGCTTTAAATGTCGTTTTATGTTATTCCAAAAATGGTTGGGCGGTGAAAAAGATACGAACCTAATTCTAGAAAAGGTTGGCCGCGCCAAGTAAGATTTTCCATCGTTGGGCTGGCTGCCGTGGAAAAAGAGTGGCACGACGCTGTTTACCCTAAACGGTGCCGCATCAACATAAGACAAAACCAGCCCCAACAAATATTAACGGGGGCATTGCTTAACATAAGATACATGATTTGTATGTATTACTAGTCATTACTCGTTTCTGAAGGTACTCTTAACACAAAAAATTCACCAAGCAAATGGGGCATCCAAAAATGTCTTAAATAAAAGAAGTGCAAAGGTTGAAATGGAGAAGAATCATATCACATTAATACAATCCGAGAATCCTCGTGAACTTAAACTAACACTATTAAAAAATTATTATGTCATACATTTCTTTATGGCGGCTCTTCTTTTTACCAAATGAATGTTCATTTTTTCAACCTCTGGCTAAATGTAATGAATATGTTGTCTAATTTTAAGAAGAAATATTATTAAGAACACACAATTAAATCACTGAATCAAATCCAACGAATTAGCCACATTGAACAATAAAATTGTCAAGAAATAGAAAAAAGTCCAACTGAACTAACATTGCCCAGCGAATCTGTTTGCAACTGTAAGGACAATTAATTTAAATTCTTTGTCGATATGCCTTCTCAGATGCTACAGAAATATTCTCATGCTACAATTAAACCAAATCAACAAAATCAAAATTTCATCACTTCAATTTTTTTTTGATTTAATTGACTTTTTTTGTTGTTTCGGTGTCTAATTTGCATTATTCAAGTATTCAAAAAAAAATATGAACATTAGCAAAGAGAAATTGATGCAAATAAGGAAAGAGAAATTTATAGTTGGTTTTGAATTTTTTTTTTGTGCAATCCGTTTCAGTTATTTTTTTATTGGTCATTATTTTTTTTATTAGTAATTAGCTTCACTTTGAATTTTTTTAGTGTAATTGATATCACTTGTTATTTTTTATTGGTGATTAGCTTGATTTTATTTATTTATTTTTTTTAGTGCAATTAATATCACATGTTATTTTTTTATTGGTAATTAATTTGGATTTAAATGTCTAAAACCTGAAAGAAAAAATTTAACATTTAAATATTTTCACATCTATAAAATCATACAAATGTATGTTTTGAGTAACGAAGTCCAATTATGATCATCAAGACAAACAATGAGAGAGTATGAGAAAGAGAGAGATGAAAATAGAATAAAAGTCTAATTAGGATCGTCAAAACAAATAATGCTAAGTGAAAAAGAGTATGAGATATTTAAATATAGATAGAGAGAGAGTTATACGAGAGATGAGAGAGTGTGTTTAAAATGTCTGTGAGAGAGTGAGAGAGAGAGAGTTATATATTTATATAATAAAGTAGCTAAGAATGTTTGTCTTGAACTTTTCGCAGCTTAGATTACTTGACCATTCTTAATCCGACGGTCCTCATCCCAAAATTTTCCAACACTCCTATCTCTCGTCTAACTCTTTTCCCATATCTCATACTAATTGATACAAAGACTCATATATCTCATCTAACGCTATCTCCCTATCACATCCTATAATTCTCTTCGTTACTCTCTGCCTCACCCATTTTTTAAAATATTCTATCTGCCTCTGCCGAGACTCCTCATCTAACTCTTTACCTTGCCTATCCCATATCTCAGTTGCTATCTCACGATACCCCTCTCTCTCCCCTTTCCTCTGTTTCTTTACCTTGCCCCTACAACACACACCACATCGGAGTAACACCCATTGCAACAGGAGTCCAGGTATTCTGGGTTTTTTTCTTCAATTCTCTCCCTCTCTCCCTCTCTCTATATCTCGCTCTCTCTTTCTCTGTGTTCTGGGTTTTTGGTGTGTGTGTGTGTGTGTGTGCCTGTGTGTGTGTGTCTGTGTGTTCATTTTTGTGCCTGTGTGTCCGTGTGTGTGTGTGCCTATGTGTTCATTTTCTATCTCCTGTGAATCAAACTTTGTGTTCTGTTCACAGATAGTTATTTTATGCGCTCTATTCACAGAGAGAAACTTTGTGTTCAGTTTAAGTAATAAACTTTGTGTTTAGAAAGAGTATAAATGTTACTTGATAAATGTCAGTAAAGAGAATGTAAATAATCAGTATGGTCATTTGAATTAGCAGTGTGGTCACTTCTCTTCCTTGATCATGGTCAATCCATCATACTGGAGTTTCCTTATTGCTCATCACCTTATTACTTGACCTTCATGATAACTTCTTGATTTCATGAAATTTAACATTTGTCTCATTTTCACTATAATATTTTTTAGACTCTAACAACCAAAATGATCTTATAAATCGATTTTGCTTGCATTGGTGTTTACAACTCTCTTTCACGCACCATGTGTTTGTGGGTCTTTAGAATTGATTTCATGACAATTGAAAGGAAATCTTCTTTGATTATTTTTTCTGNGGTGGTCATCTGAATTAGCAGTGTGGTCACTTCTCTTCCTTGATCATGGTCAATCCATCATACTGGAGTTTCCTTATTGCTCATCACCTTATTACTTGACCTTCATGATAACTTCTTGATTTCATGAAATTTAACATTTGTCTCATTTTCACTATAATATTTTTTAGACTCTAACAACCAAAATGATCTTATAAATCGATTTTGCTTGCATTGGTGTTTACAACTCTCTTTCACGCACCATGTGTTTGTGGGTCTTTAGAATTGATTTCATGACAATTGAAAGGAAATCTTCTTTGATTATTTTTTCTGTAATGCCCCTTATTTGGGATCAATACTGGTCACTTTGGCTTTCGCCTAGCCATCAATCTAAACCATCATCCCTATCTTGATACATGATCCTAATATGTTTGCCATCATGCATTTTAAAGTTTCCTTCAAGTTATTGGGAGCTTAGTCACGACTACAGTTTTATTGGAAGCCTTAGATTCGGTATTCCATCTATTTATTGTTTCTTTCACGACATCAGCTACNCAGTTATTGGAAGTCTTAGTCACGACTACAGTTTTATTGGAAGCCTTAGATTCGATATTCCATCTATTTATTGTTTCTTTCATGACATCAGCTACTCTTAAATAAATTGATGAATCTTCGATACAAAATTAGTATCATTTATATTGTTTTTATGGAGAAAAGGGAACAATAGATGCCTTTTTGACTACTATGTAACATAGAAATTACATTCTAAACAACTACTATTACGTGTAAGATGATAAGTCCAGTTAGTTGATATCCGCTTGAAGAGTGATGCAAAATAGCATTGTGTGTGTGCCGTTGTGTGTCTAGGTTTTTTTTTTTGTGTGTGTGTTTTTGTCTCTCTTCATGTGTGTGTTCATGTCTATGTTCATGTATGTGTGTTCATGTCTGTCTAATTTTGTGTGTGTGTGTGTGTTCATGTGTGTTTTGGTTTCAGGTTTCTTCTCTCTCCAAATTTTTTATAATTATAAGCACTCGCTTTCTTACTTACTAACTTTCTATTGTAATTGAATCTATTTCAATTATGGTGTATGTGATATTTTGACTAATTATT